CGGATGATGCACCCGAGCCCAAGAGCGACCTGGCCACTTCTAAAATCCTTATGGAGGTTGACACGAACGTGGGGGTGAAGGATCATGAGGCTAAGCTGCTAGCCCCTTGTCCGAAGACTGATGCTATGGAGATCATGGTAGGAAGGGATGTGGAGGAGTTCCTGTAGGAGATTCAAGCGAGTGTGCGAGCTTTAGACCAAAAGGTGGGGATGGAAGTGGAAGGTCGTACCGTGAGGTTGGTGAATGATTCACAGACGAAAGCGCTGAGGTAGGAGGTTGGCCCTCCCCTAGTCAATTCGGTATGGAGATTCACTCCATGAAGGATAATCCCATCTTCGAACACATTCACTTGCAGGGTACATGTGGAAATCTGAGAGGAGCAGTGGAGGGGAGTAGGACAATAATGCTGGGTGATGAACGGATTACACCTATGGCTGTGGACAAGGTGGCGAGCAGAAATGTTGCGAATGGAGGAATGTGGACATCTATTGAGGGGGTGGATAGGGGTGAAAGGCCGAATGCTGCTAAGGGTGCCTCCACCACGGCACAGGAATGCTCACAAGGTGTTTGTAATATTGCCCCTGGGGCACGGCTGGATGCTCTGCATGGGCAAAGTTCTTCTAAGGCGGGAACTTTGAATGTTTGGAAGAAAGCAATGCCAGTGGCATTAAATTTGGATGAGAATGTGACGGATTTTCTCTTGGAGGATGGAGCGATTAAATTGGATCTTTCTATAGCAAGGGGAAATGCCCAGAGGTTGAGACGGGCTCTGGTCGGGAGCTTGCTGGGGAGGCGAGTGCCATTTTGGGTAGTCCAAAATGAACTCCAATGCAAATGGGGACACCTCGGGGTGACCCAAATCACCCCATTGGGCTCGGACTGCTTCCTCTGTTGGTTCGAAGATGTGGAGGCGAGAGATAATGTTCTAATCGGGGGACCTTGGCATGTTGCAGGCCAAATTATAGGCGTTGAACAATGGAATGCGAGAATATCGCCCACATCGGTATGAAGATTTACTTCGCCTGTTTCGATTAGGCTCCCTAACCTGCTACTGGAATACTGGGATGAGGCGAATCTGGCTAGGTTAGCGACTGGCGTGGGGAACCCCTCTTCATGGATGATCAGACCAAACAGTGGAACAGATGTGCTTTTGCACGGGTTTGTGTTCACCTTGATTTGTCAAAAAAACTACCGAAGGGCATCTGGGCTCATGGATTGGGTGGAAAGTTTTTCCAACCAATCGAATACGAGGGAATTCCGGTGATCTGCCTTGAGTGTGGAATGGTTAGACATAAGGCGGAGGGCTGCAGGGAACGGGTTAGGATGCAGTGGCAGCATCCTCCCAACCAGAATAGGCCAGTCATGGACAGTGCTGGACAAGGGGAGGTGAACTTGTAGGAAAGAATCGGGGGTGTGGAACTAGGAGCTGGGTCCAACTCGTCGGATATGAGCACAAAGAGGATTGACAAGGAATGTGGTGAATTGACCATCGTGACTAGAAGGCAAAAGCCTCAGCCTGCTAAAACTGTGACCAATGCTGGGGTATTGTTACTCCGGCCATTACAGGGGGCGATAAGGCTGTGTGACATTAGACAACTAAGGATAATAAAGCGGGGAAGGCTAAGGCTATGGAAGAACACACTGGAGAACGGTCTCCTAAGGAGCAGAGGGCTGGGGTGGAGCTGAATTCAGGTGTTCTGGGGGCTGCTCCAACGGGACAATTGGGTACTTCGCAGATGATGGTTGCTGAGACTGAACAGCCAGCTGGGGAATCTAGAAACGGCAGCAGGGAATTCCCCAATTTCATGAGGTCACCGATGAGGGAGAAGGGGGCTAAGCCTGTTGAACAAGACATGGAAGAACATACTGGAGATACAAATTGTGGGGGCAGACTAGAGTCGAGGATGTGCGTTCAGCCATTAAATTTAAAAGGGCCCCCGCGGAAGGGACGTAAACAAGGAAAAATTTGCAGGGAGGATAGCTCTCAAGACCTGCTTGATCAGACAATTTTACCCAGGGTATTACGGTTCTCGGACTCCAAGACTAGAGGATGGAAACCCTATACTATACGGGACAGGAAAGCCAAGGCCGGACTGGCCAACAAGGGAGGGGCATTGCTAGAATCTGCACGTAATTTCGCTGGCTGGCTCATCTGATGATTGGTCCACTGGCAATGCGGGGTCGCTAGTTGAGGTGTTGAGGGATGAAGTTGCTACTAATAATTCGCATGCTCCTGAGGGGACGGCGGAGATTTTGGAAAACCTGTGCGGCGGGGACGCTTCTTCTTCGGTTATCCATGTTTAACATCCTCTGTTGGAATTGTAGAGGTGCGCGTAAGAAAGAGACGAGGTTCTACTTACGGCACTTAATTGGAACCCATAATGCTAGTTTTGTTGGCCTGATGGAGACTAAATTGGAGAAGATATATCGGAAGGACGTTGACAGATTTGCTGGGAGAGATTGGGAGTTCGAATATCAGCCTTCGATTGGTAGAGCTGGGGGCATCCTTGTCCTGTGGAGGAGCAGTTGTTTCTCTTTTCAGATTTCTTTCAAAGCGGAGCAATGCCTTATGGGGAAGATCACGCGGGCGAATGGGAGCTCGTGGGATGTGGCTGTGGTATATGCCAGCAAGAACAGGTGCATTAGACGTACGATGTGGGAGGATATTTCCACTCGCCGTGACCAGCGCCTCCCCTTGCTTGTTGGAGGTGATTTTAACTGTATCTTGTGCCAGGAGGATAAAAAAGGGGGAAGGCCTTTTCTTAGCACTCCGGCCACTTGCGATATGGCCGAGTTTATGGTAACAAATGATTTGGTTGACCCTGGGTTTGTTGGGCCTGCTTTCACTTGGACGAATAATAAAGATGCGAGGAGTAAGATATTTTTTAGACAAGACAGATTCCTTGTCAGCTCTGACATTTTGGATAGGTTCCAGGATTTGCGTGTTGAACATCTGACTAGGCTTGTGTCGGATCACTGTCCTATCCTTTGTAGGGTGCAGGAGGTATCGAAGCGCACTTACTCACCGTGGATCAGATTTGAGGATGTTTGGCTGAGCTTTCCTCAAGCTTGCCACTTGGTCATGGAGAAGTGGACGGTGGCTGATTTCGGGAGTGAGGCTGCACAACTACAGAGAAAGTGTAATAGAACGCTGAAGGCTTTGTTCTTCTGGAGCAAGGAGAAATTCAGGCGACTCAGCCAACTTAGGGCGGAGTTGGATACTGAGGTTAGGACCTTGCAGGAGTTGGAAGGTAAATTGCATGGGCTAAATTCGGTCCAGACTGAAAGTTTGCGGTTTAAAGTGCAACTCTTGAATTCCACATTAGCCCGCATTATGACTTGGTGGAGATAGAGGGCGAAGGTGCGGTGGATCGAGGAGGACGATGGTAATACCCATTTTTTCCACTCTATGGCGTCGCCGAGGCTACGATCCAATGGTATTGCGTCAATTATGAGGGAGGACGGCTCGGTTGTGACGGAACAGGTGGAGGTTGCTAATACCTTCTATCAGTTTTTTGCTCAGAAATGGAAGGGAACGGACATTGTGGATCAGGGCTGGCCATCACTTACCTGTTATCGGGACTCTATTATTCGATTCACTGGGATTTTGGAGAGTGATGTCTCGGAGGAAGAAATTCTGAGTGCTACAAAATCTTTGGGACAGAACAAAGCTCCGGGGCGGGATGGTATCACTGCCTCCTTCTTCAAATCGTATTGGGACATTGTGGGGGAGCAGGTTGGTCGTGCCTGTGTGGAATTCTTTAATTCAGGCGTGATGGATCCTTCTTGGAAGGAGACGGTTGTGGTCCTGATTTCGAAAGTTAAAAATTCGAATCGCCCCTCTAAGTTTTAACCCATTAGTCTGTGTCAAACGATCTATAAAATTGTTGCGAAAGTTCTTGTGAATAGACTTAAAGGGGTATTGCCATATATTGTGTATGAAGAACAAGTCGCCTTTGTCCCTGGGCGTTCAATTACGACACACTACTTACTTGGCCAAGAACTGATGCATAAATTTCAAAGTGTCCAAGGCTACAAAAGGCTTTTTTGCTCTGAAGGTGGACATGGAACAGGCGTACGACAAGATGAGTTGGCAAACCCTGGAATTGGTAATGGAGAGGATGGGCTTTTCCGCCAGGTTTGGTGCTTGGGTTCTCAGTTGTGTCAAGAATCCTAAGTTCTCCATTCTTGTTAATGGCCAGCTTTCAAATTGGATTAATGCGGAGTGTGGTTTTTGCCAAGGGTAGGGTGTCCGCTGTCACCATACCTGTTTATCCTCTGCTCGAAATTGCTGTCTGCCCATTTCAAACAAAACTTCAGAGAGATGGGAGTTCCGATCAGCCCGGGGGTACTCCTGTCTCCCACCTCCTATATGCTGTCGATATTCTTTTTTTTACAGGTGCTACCATGATAAATGCTCGGACGACCATGTCAATCCTGACGGATTACTGCTCTTGGACTGGGCAAAGAGTTAACCGGAGTAAGTCTACGGTTCTCTTCAGCCGATGGACCCCGACCGCTACAAAGACACGAATGACTAGGATTCTTGGTTGCTGTAAGGTTACGAAGTTGGATTACTTGGGGCTAAAGCTAGCGATGAGGAGGCTCACCAAGGTTGATTTTGCCCTATTGATCCAGAGGGCACGGGAGCATACACTTAATTGGGGAATCAGGCACCTTTCTATGGCGGGGCGGATAACATTGATCAATTATGTACTGCTGCCTTCATCGGTCTTCCTCATGACTCATACTATCATTCCCAAAGCGGTCCTCAATGATATGGAGAGATTATGTCGGAGCTTTCTGCGGGACAGGGACTCTGAACATAAGGGTATGCACTACGTCGCATGGGAAAAGGTGGCTCGGCCTAGACGGAATGGCGGGCTTGGTTTCCATGTTTGTGCCCGCTGGACTGGAGCTCTCCGGGCACGGGTGGCCTGGAACATCATTGGCAATCCTGAGGGGTTGCTACAAAGATGCCTGAAACATAAATATGGGGATGAATTGAGGGATTTAAATCCCCCTAGGGGACACTCTAGCAACTCAATAGTAATTTGTGAGGGTGCTAGGAGCCTGACCAGTTCAATACGTTGGAAGATTGGGAATGGCCAGGACATTGAGGTGCTATCAGATACCTGGATCTAGGATAGAGCCATTTCTTTGTGGCCTACTTTCTGTGATATCTCGGCTATTGAAAATCTTAGAGTCTCTGATTTCTTGCGGGAAGGTGGCAGCTGGGACTTGCCGAAGCTGCGGTCCTGCTTCGGAGAACTGCTTATGGACAATATTACTACCATTCCTATTGGAGAGGGAACGGGGAAGGATTGTATGGAGCTAATCAAGACCGCCTTAGACTCTACAATTTCGGCTATCGTCTAAAGCAGAATGTTTGATGAGGAAGAGGATCCTATTTGCAAGATACTGAAGCTTGGACTAAGGCCACGGGTGCGTCTGTTCTGGTGGCGAGTGTACAATGACAAAGTCCCCACAAATGTTTGGCTGTGCGATCATCACTTCCAGGTCGATTTGCTTTGTCCTCTTGGGTGCTCGGAGGTAGAGGATACCGACCACATCACGACTAGGTGCAACACGTTGAGGACTGTTCTGGACGTCTTGGCCGACTGGGGCATCCCTGTGCCACGGTTCTCTTCCTTTTGGGACCTTCAGACGGAGTTTTCAAGGGCCAGCGATGCTCATGATGATTGGAAAAAGGCTTATTGTGTGACAATCTACTATTGCTGGAAGAGTAGGAACCTACACAAGCATGGCAAGAGCTCGTTCCCCCCTAAGACGATGGCGGCTAATATTCTTGAGGTACTCAACCAGAATATCTTTTCTCCTCCCTTGGAGCAACGGGATGTCTTCCAATCTGCTAGATTGTTGTCGTCTTCTTCGTGGTGTCCCCCCCCCCTCCAAGATGGTGGAAGATCAATTTGGATGGTGCGCTCAGAAGGTCGAATGTTGGGGGAATTGGCATTGTCGTTCGGGATGATAAGGTTCTTCACATTTCGGCGGCTGGATGGGGGATTGCCCACTGGGATAGCACACAAGTGGAACTTTTGGCGATTCGGTACATCAACGAGTTAGTTATTGACTGGACGAACGATGTGGAGGGGGTTATTGTTGAGGGAGATAATGCCAGTGTCATCCAGTTCATGCAAGATTACAAAGATAGGGGGCGGTGGAAGACTCAGCAAACTGATTGTTTGGATTTTGAATGGACCAAGCAATTCAAAAAAGTTTTGTTTTTACATACTAACCGGCGACTTAATTTGGAGGCCCATTTTTGTGCACAGAGGGCCACCGAGTGCTCTTTTGTTTGGAGGGGTGGGGATAGTTCTAATGTATTGATTCCTCAAGATTATTTTAATATCCTTGAGGAAGATAGGAGGGGTTTTTTGGTAGAAAGGCCGGTTGGCCATTAGTTTCTCTTTTTGGTTTTCTTTACTTCTAATTGTATTGTTCCTTTGGTTAAATGAATGCAAATGCAAAGTTCAGCTCTTACTCTCTCCTCTCTCTCGCTCTCCCTCCCTTCCTAGGGTTTGTCGAGCGTTCTCGCCGGGGAGGTTTCCTCTCGGTGGTGGGTTCCGGCCTGTCGGCGGCTCGACTTCTTGGGATGGTGGGGGGTGACCGACGGTCACCCCCTTGTCCTCCTCCTCGGAGTGGGGGCGGGAAAGATTCAGGTGGAGGGAAAGTTTCGGATGGCAAATCTGGTTCTCGCATTGATGTCAAGGGAGTGTCGGGGGGCAGTTCATCTGGGCCTGGCTCGGCAGAATATACGGGTGCGGAGGGGGATAAGAGATCCCCTTTGCGTGGCTTGAATGGTGTCAAGGACACCGGGGCTGCTAAGAAGCAGGTTGTTTACGTTCGATCCCCCGTCAAGGGGGGTGCGGTTAGATCGGAGACTTTAGGGTCTGCGGGAAATGTTCGTGCCTCGGGTGACAAAGCTCGTGTGGGGGTTGGAGTTACGGGTGGTAGATCGGGGCGTACGCCGGCTGGTGAGGGGGAACCCAAGCCTGTTGGCAAGGCTCCGGAGGACCTGCAGGATGATCATAGGGGTGGATCTGGATGACCTAGATCTGAAGTCTCAGGCAATCGCTGATCGTGGGGATGGAATAGAGATCATGGGGAGCGATGAGGTGCTTGAATTCTTGAAGGAGGTCCACGGCAACATTGGTGATGCTCCCATGGTGGTTGCAGTAGGTTCCCCGGACATGGAAATTACGACGAAGGCTGATGGTATGCCGAGCAGCAAGGTGGTTGAATCGGTAAGGCCATTATTTCAGTTTGGAAGCATGAGTCGGATATAGGATCTGGGTAGATCACCGGAGGCTCTGGATACCTCACGGATAATGCAGCACAAAGATCCTAAAATCGCTGGTGATGCGGTACGTAGCACCATTAATTCTGCTGCTATGATGGTCGATAGGGGTGAACCTCCCAAGGCCGTGGGTGGTGAAACTTCTGGGATGGCATCTTGCCCTTCAGATGCTCGACGTTTTGCCAATGCTAGAATCCTGGGGATGCGCCAGGAAGCGGGAAAAGGTAGTGCGTCAGCTGGTTTAGTCCTTGGTGCCAGGCCGACTCAGAATGTTTGGAAGAAGCCTGAGCCGATTGCCCTCAAGTTGGAGGTGGATGCCTCAACTGTTTTGGGGGCGGATGGGATGGTCTCGTTGAACCTGGACAAGGCTAGAGGAAATATCCAAAAGCTTGAAAGAGCTCTGGTGGGTAGCCTCCTTGGGCGGAGAGTACCCTTCTGGGTGGTGCAAAGTGAACTTCAGAGGAAGTGGGGGCACTTGGGTCTCACCCGCATTACGCCGATGGGAGCAGACTGCTTCTTGTGCTGGCTCAAGGATGCCAGTGCAAGAGACAAAGTCATGATTGGGGGCCCATGGTTCGTGGCAGGCCAAATTATTGGGGTGGAGCAATGGGCTGTTGGATCAATGTCGAATTCCCCAAGGAAGTTTACCTCTCCGGTTTGGATACGGCTTCCCAATCTGCCGTTGGCTTACTAGGACGCGGAAAATCTGGCCCGGCTTGCCACTGGCATAGGGGAACCCCCTTATATGGATGAACTGACCAATTTGTGGAATAGATGTGCCTTTGCACGTATTTGCGTTCGCTTGGATTTATCAAAGAAGCTACCTAAGGGTGTGTGGGCTCATGAACTGGGAGGCTCTTTTTGCCAACCTATTGAGTATGAGGGCATTCCTCTGATTTGTTTGAACTGTGGGAAGGTCGGTCATAAGGCGGAGGTGTGTAAGGAATCCAGAAATATGGTTAATGTGCACCCGCCCCCACCTACTACGATGGGGCCTGCTCCCCCTATGCACAGGAAGGATATGGAGGTGGACCATGTTGAGGTCGAACGTATGAGCATGAAGATAGCTTCGGCTGATGGGTCACCCGGGTTGGATAACGAAGAGCAAGGGGAGTGGACTATTGTCAATAGAAGAAGGAGACCCAAATCAGTTAGGGTGGTGGAGAGTTGCTCTACGCTGGGGTCTACACAATTGCCTGGCACCAGGCGGCGGAAACGTGGTGAAGCTACTGCTTCCCCTGCTCAAAAATTGACCCCAAGAGTGTTGCATTTTTCTGGAACGAAGTCAGATGTTCATAAGGTGAAAAATGTAAACACAAGAGGAGCTAAAGACAGACGGATGAAAGAATTGGGGTGCATTGGTCCCCTTCAGAAGTTGCCTGGTGTCCGTAGGAACAGAGACAGACGGGAAGGGATTACTCCCCTACAATCCGAGCTCAATGTAACGATCAAGGATTGCTCCTTTGGTGGTAGAATGGATAAGAAGTTTGCGGATCAATGGAAAGAGGTTTTCTCGGATGTTTTTTGCGGCGGGGACGCTTCCCCTTTGGTGGATAATGTTTAATATCCTCTGTTGGAATTGTAGAGGTGCGCGTAAGAAGAAGACCGGGAACTTCTTACGACACCTCATCGGGGAGCACAACATCAGCATCATTGGTCTAGTTGAGACCAAAATGGAAACATTCTCTCGTGCGGATGTGGACAAGCTTGCGGGGAGGAATTGGGATTTCTGCTTTCAGCCTTAAGTGGGTAGGGCTTGGGGCATTCTTGTTCTATGGCAAGGTGCGATTGGCACCTTTAATGTCACCTTTCAAATGAACCAATGTATTATGGGGAGTTTTAGGTGGACGCGTTCTCCGTCCTGGGAGCTTGCTGTGGTTTATGGCGATAAAGACAGGTATACTAGGCAACGGATTTGGGAGGATGTTTCGCAGCATCATGTTGCCAACGCCCCTTTGGTGGTGGGGGGGGTGGGGTCTTCAATTGCATTATGGCACATAGTGAGAAGAAGGGGGGTAGACCCTTTGTTTTCAACCCTGCGGCTGGCGATATGGGTGATTTCATGAATGCTAATGGCCTGGTTGACCCTGGTTTCTCGAGACCTGCCTTCACATGGACCAACAATAAGGATGCCGGAAGTCGGATTTACTCGCGTTTGGATCGGTTTCTGATCAGTTCATCCATTCTGGATGAATTTCAGGGCTTAGAGGTTCAGCACCTCTCTAGGCTTACTTCGGACCATTGTCCCATCCTCTGTTCTGTTCAGGCGGGTGGGAGGAGGGCCTATTCCTCTTGGATCCGGTTTGAAGATGTTTGGGCCAGCTATCCTAGGGCGTGGCAATTGGTTATGGAGAAATGGAAGGTACACGATTCTGGCTCGGAAGCGACGATCCTGCAGAGAAAGTGCCAAAGGACCCTCAAGGCATTGTTCTTTTAGAGTAGGAATAAAATCAAGTTGTTGAACCAGCTAAAGGATGAGCTTGATCGTGAGATTAGCATTCTGCAGGAAATTGATTGCTCTCCATCCGGCCTCTCTGAGGCCCAGTCTGAATCTCTCAAATATAAGGTCTAGTTGTTGAAGGCAACTCTGGCCAGGGTCATGACTTGGTGGGGGCAATGTGCGAAGGTTCAATGGATTGAGGAGGGGGATGGGAACACACATTTCTTCCACAATATGGCGTCGGCGAGAAGGAGGACCAATCTCATTGAGCAGCTCAAGCATACGGATGGGAGGACTGTTACTGATCAGTCCGAGATTTTGAGAATGATGGAAGAATTCTTCCAACAGAAATGGGAGAACAATGATATCATAGACTACGGGTGGCCCTCTTTTGATTCGCATTTTGCTTGCTTGCAGCGCCTGGGCATGTCTCTGGATAGTGAGATCACCCGTGAGGAAATATGGCATGCGGTGAAGTCTATGGGAAAGAATCGTGCTCCTGGACGTGATGGTGTGACGGCATCCTTCTTCAAATCGTTTTGGGACATTGTTGGTGAACAGGTCAACTTGGCGTGCTTGGAGTTTTTCTCTTTGGGACGGATGGAGCCGGAGTGGAAGGATATTGTGGTGGTTTTACTGCCTAAGGACAATAATGCGGACTATCCTTCTAAATTTAGACCGATCAGTCTCTGTCAAACTATCTACAAGGTCATTGCGAAGATTTTAGTTAACCACATCAAAGGCATATTGCCTTCCATTATTTCGGAGGAACAAGCAGCCTTTATACCGGGGAGATCAATCTCTGATCACTGTCTTTTGGGGCAGGAGATCATCAACATGTTCAAGGTCTCCAAGTCTGCTAAAGGATGGTTGGCATTGAAAGTCAACATGGAGCAAGCCTATGACAAAATGAACTGGAGAACACTGGAGATTGTGCTGACTAAAATGGGTTTCCCCCAAATATTTCGATCGTGGGTGATGAGTTGTGTCACTGCTCTACGATTTGCCATTCTGGTGAATGGAACCCTTACGGATGGGATCACGGTTGGCTGTGGTTTTTGGCAAGGGTGCCCGCTCTCACCATATTTATTCATTCTTTGCTCGGAGCTGCTGTCTCTCCATTTTCGCTAAAACTACCCGGAGTTAGGCGTCCAAATCAGGGTGGGAGGACCTGCCGTCTCCCACCTCCTTTATGCTGACGACGTTTTATGTTTTGCAGGTGCTACCATCCCTAATGTTCGGAAGCTTCTGACGACCCTGGATGACTATTGCGGCTGGACGGGGCAAAGGATTAACAAAAATAAGTCTGCTATTCTGTTTAGCAGAATGGTTACGACCTCCACTAGAAGCCGTCTAGCTAGGCTAGCGGGGTGTCGTATGGTGACGGAAATGGATTACCATGGCATAAAATTCGTGATGAGAAGAAGGCTCACGAAGGCGGATTTCAGCCCTCTCCTACAGAAAATTCAATCGCACATCTTAGCTTGGGGTACTCGTCAGCTATCTTTGGCGGGTAGGATTACAATGATTAATTCTGTGTTGCTTCCGTTGTTGGTGTTTGCGATGACTCACATGCTGGTTCTTTAGGGTGTTCTTGCTGAAGCGGAAAGACTTTGTCGGAGCTTCCTCTGGGATAAGGATCAGAATCACAAGAGTCTGCATTATGCATCTTGGGGCAGCCTCACCAGATCGAGGCGCCAGGGAGGTCTCGGTTTTCATGCCAGAAGCAGCTGGACGGGGCCACTCAGTGTAAGAATTGCCTGGGATTTCGTAAACAAGCCTCATAATCTTTTCCAAAGGTGTATGAGGCACAAGTATGGGGCTTGGCCATGGATGATGGAACATAAAAGAGGTGAATCGAATGGGTGGAGAATTATCTGCAGTGGGGCGAAGAGTTTGGTTGGCTGTCTCTGATGGAAGGTCTGCAACGGAGTGGATATTGACACGATCAATCACGTTTGGATACAGGACTATGCCATTTGTTCTTGGCCGACGTTCTGTAATATTGAGCTTGCCGTGGGCAGCCGGGTGGACGAGTTCATCATGACGGGTGGTGGATGGGATCGGAACAAGCTACGGCATTATTTTGGAGAGACCCTCGTCGAGTTGATTTGCGAGGTGATAATCTGGTCGGAGCTTCATACCGACACTCTTGAGTTAACTAAGAGCACGTTGGGCACCTCGTTGTCCACTATCTGCTACAATGCGGAGTATACGGGGGAGGAGGACCAGGTTTGTACCATTCTGCATATGCATATGCGACCCCGTGAGAGAGTCTTCTGGTGGAGGCTGGACCTCATCCCTACTCTTACTTGGCTCAACTGTCGGGGCCTTGGGGCTGGGCTCAGTTGTCTGATCGGTTGTAACCAGCATGAAAATCTCGATCACGTTACGACGCAATGTCTGCAATTACTCAAGATCCTGAAGCGTCTGGATGATTGGGGCTTTGTCACGCCCAGGTTTGCGTGTTTTATGGATTTGAAGGAAGCTCTGCAGAGGGGACTTGCGACCAAAGCCTACTGGACAAAGATCTACTGCTCGGCGGTCTTCTATAGCTGGGGAAACAGGAACGCTATTCATCATGGCAAGACGGTGAACTCCATTACTGGACTGGCCGCAATGGTTCTCGGATCCACCAGCCACGGTGTTTTTTCGAATAGCTTGGAGCAACGGTTCACCCATCAATCCGTTGGATTGTTTCAGAATGCATCTTGGTGTCCCCCCCTTCAGGCTGGTTGA